GGCACAGGGGGAGCCAGAGGCAGGGAAGCAGCTGGGTACCCACAGCAGGGATCTGGGGAGCAGGGAGGGGCCAGGAGGCAGAGACACAGAGAGAGAACCAGCTCAGGTGGGGGCCTGCTGATACTAGCTTTGCCAGAACCAGCCATCCCTAACCCTGAGCCCAGACTTCCCCTATGCCCCTAAGCAGGGGGAAGAAAAGGGGCCATGGCCTCAGGATCAGCAGCCGCCACCTCCACCAGGGCAGCGCGAGGATGAACAGGAGAAATCTGGTGGGGACAAGAGGCCCGCCACGGAACCTGTCTTTAAGGTCCTAGACACACCTCTGAGCGAGGGTGACGAGCCCACAACGCTGCCGACCCAGCGGGACCACGGGCACAGCGTGCAGATGGAGGGCTACCTGGGCCGCAAGCACGACCTGGAGGGGCCCAACAAGAAGGCCTCCAACAGGTGTGTTTGGGGGGGCCTTTCGGGTGGGGAAGGTCGGGCAGCCCCCAGGGATCTCCCCACCAACAGACTTGGTACCATATGTAGGGAAGATGGTACCTTCAGCCTCTGGTCTTTGGGAGCACCTGGCATGCCTCTGAGCCTGGCCCAGGGCCTACGTGGCATAATTTGAAAGTCCAACTGCAGTTCTGGTCCTGAGTTCAAATCCTATGACTTCATACAAGTTACTCAACCTCTCTAGGTTGGTTTCCCCATTTGTAAAACTGGGATGATGGCAATAGGATGCCTTTTCACCACAGATACTGTGCCTGGCAAGAGCAGGTACCTGGTGACTACTAGTTGTTATTATTCTTACTATCCCAGGGCTGGGTAACAGGTAGGTAGCTCTTGGTACTAACAGCATATCCTTGACCGAGCCCCATTTTTTACCCATCTGGGCCTCAGTTTCCTCAGCTGTAAAACAGGAGATGGGGCCAGGCAGCATTAAAGCAACTGGACCCGCACACAAGGTCCTTGGCTCACATCCAAGGACCTCCCTGTGCACACCAGGCATGCATGCATGTACATGTCCAGGATCCAAGCTGGCTGAGACTGGGGTGGATCGTGACATGAAGACCCTGCTTGGGGTGCTTCTCTCTCTCTCAGAAGAAATAAACTTAAAAACAACTTTACTTAACAAAAAATGAGAGCAGGGTCAACAGGTGGTGTGGTGGTTAAGGCGCTAGACTCTCACATAGCCAACTGTGGTTTGCATCCTGGACCCAGAGACTTAAAATTCAACTGGGGGTGTGTTGTACATGCTGAAAATCCCAAGAAAAGAATGAAGGAGAAGGGATTGTGGCATGCCATCCCTCCTGGAAGGTGATTACTCACTTTCTCTGTCTCTGTCCTCTCTCTCTCTCTCTCTCTTGAAGTCACATGCCCTATGGCAGAAACCTTAAAAGAAAATTAAATGGGAGATGGGGGTGGAGGATGGCCCAGCTGCCTTCTGGAGATCCCTTCCAGTGCTTCCCTTAGTGACTGACGCTGAGGAACTAACTCAAAGACTGCTTTTTCCTGACGTTGATGCAGTTGTGGCCTTGGGTGTGGTCTACCAAGGTTTCCCTGTCTGGGGACCCTAAGGCCACAGCTTCTGGCCACAGTCCAGGGGCCAGGGAAACAGCAGCATCAAGAGGTTAAAGTCCACTGTGTTTCCAGGGTCACCTGGGAACATACAGTGTGTGCCCTGGGGAGCTGGCCAAAGCACTCTCAAATTCCAACAGTGAAAGATTTGGAGGCCCAATCCCCCTGAGGTGGTTTACTGCTTTAATGAAGAGTTCACCAGGAGAAAAGACCTGCCATGTGCCAGGTCTTACGTTAGAATGGACAAAATCTTCACAACAACCCTGTGATATTGAGGTTTCCATTTTCTGGATGGAGAAACAGCCTTCAAGAGGTTAAGTCATGTGTTCAATGTAGCGTTTTACTCCAAAGATCCTGCTGCTTCTTAACAACTGCCTTAACTGCTAGAGAAAAACATCCCTGGGCTGGGATTCCGAAATCTCGGCTTTGTAGACTTGGCTCACAGGCCAACTTGGTACAGGTTAAGTTCACTCTAACCTTCCAGTACTACCTCCCTGTGTACCCTGCTATTTCTCCTCCTCCTTCCTGCCCTCAAAAGGGAGGGGAGGAGGACAGAGGAAGAGGAGGCTAAAGGGAAGAAGCAAACCTTAGTGTTCTCAGAGTCTGTTGTTGTAAAACTGCAACATCACGCTTCCCAGTTGTCCACGAGGGAGCTCCGAGAGCCTACCCACTGGCTTATGGGCTCGATGCTCTCCCCAGTCATGCCAACTGATCGCACAAATGGATCGCTTTGCACAAACCTACTAAACAGTGCTAGTACGGGATAGTGAGCACATATCATCAAAACAAAAATGCAAGTCACCAACACGAGACCCTATTCAATTCACTTTACAGTCCTGTAGCTAGGATCTAATAGGCTAAAATGTGAAAAATACTGCGGAAAGTTAAATTTACACTGTTGGTCTTAGACTCAATAATTCTACTTCTAGAAATATATCTCAAGGTGAGATCAGAATTCTAGGCAAAGGTTCATGCATGCAAATGTTCACCACTTGCCCTTTACATTGCGGATAAATTTTCCTGTATTATAAAGTATACTAATAAAGGGATTTGTGTGTGTATGTGTGTGTACACACATGTGGTCTTCAAAAGGTTTGTGGAAAATGTATATTAGATGCACGATTTGCACAATTTCTATTATTTTTTGCACCAAAATAAACTCATACTTCAATTTCATTTGTCCACAAACCTTTTGAAATTCCTTTGCATATGATGGAATACCCTATAGCTAATCAAAATTATTTTCAGGAAATAAGTTTAAAAGCAGGCTATCAAGGTGAATATACAATCTAATCCAATTTTAACTAATAATATGGGCAGAAAAATGTGAATGGGTGAATAAAGACTAGAAGGAAGTACCAAAAGTATTAATGATACTTAACTTTTGGTGGTGAAATTAATCCATATGAATTTTTTAAAGAATTTTTATTTAACTTTATTTATTTTAATTTGACTAGAGAGGGGCAGAGGGAGAAAGAGGGAGGGGAAGTGAGAAAGCAAGCTGCCAGGTTCTGGACTCAAATCATGGTCAGCGATGTGGGAGTCCAGCGCCCCAACCACCATGCCACCTGATCAATCACATGGCCCCTCCATATGATTTTTACTTCAAAAAAAAAAAAGGAAAGCTATGGGAATCCACCATCGGGTGTGGGATCAGAACTGGCTGACCTGCTGGTTTGCATCTTCCCAGGTCCCGGAACCACCTGGAATCCAGCATCTGGTGTGGGATCAGAACTGGCTGACCTGCTGGTCTGCATCTTCGCAGGTCCTGGAACAACCTGTACTGTGTGCTCAGGAACAGCGAGCTGACCTTCTACAAGGATGCCAAGAACCTGGCTCTGGGGGTACCCTACCATGGGGAGGAACCCCTGGCCCTGAGACATGCTATCTGTGAGATTGCAGCCAACTACAAGAAGAAGAAGCACGTCTTTAAGCTGAGGTGAGGCCTTCCTGCCCGCTCCCCCTAGGCTCCGGCTTCATTTGGCATCTGTGGCCAGGTAGAGCGGGGTTGTATGGAACCAGCTCCAGCCCAAGCCCATCCTCTGGGGTCGTTCTAATCAAACAGGCTGAGGGGGTGTCCAGACTTCTACTGCTCTCAGAACGAGCTGTGCTGGCTGAGAGAGTTCTAGATGTCAGGCGCAGGGGTCTGTAGGATCACAGCCAACGCTCTGCCCAAACGCCCCCAGGGGCCACATGACTAGAAACCTTTGTCGTCCTAGGCTGAGCAATGGCAGCGAGTGGCTCTTCCACGGCAAGGACGAGGTAAGTGCTACGCCTAATGGAAGAGGCAGGTGGGGAGAACCCAAGCCACTTGACCTCAAGGATCCCCCAGGACAGCCCCATGGACTCGGGCCCTCCCTCCCCACAGGAGGAGATGGTGTCCTGGCTGCAGGGCGTGAGCACCGCCATCAACGAGTCCCAGAGCATCCGCGTCAAGGCGCAGAGCCTGCCCCTGCCGCCCCTCTCCGGCCCCGACGTCAGCCTCGGCAAGAAAGACAAGGAGAAGAGATTCAGTTTCTTCCCCAAAAAGAAGTAGCAGCAGGCGCCCAGCGCGGCGGGGCGGGGCGTGCAGGGACCTGGACCTCCGCGCCTTCCTCCCGCTGCCTGCCGCCTGCCTGCGAGCCGC